ACATTTTGAAAAGTGTTTCCTTATTTACACACTATTGACTTCCTATTGAGACTCAAAATTTTAAGTACAACTGGTAAAGAATTCAATGGATCAAACTCAGTAAATCTGAAGTCACTGGAATAAAGGCCCCTAAGAAAAAAAAATGTGTCAATTTTAAAGGTCTTTCCTAACTGAAGACCATTTTGTGATAGAGCCAAAGGTTAATAAAATCAGTAGTGAATGTAGCAATTTTACAGATAAGCTATTCACAACAAGTGTAGTTACTTGAATAAAAAGCTAATTCAGTTCTAAAATGCCACATGCAGTAGCAGTGAATAGCTGCTTTTAGGTGCTTTCTGGAGGAGGATAAAATACAGAATCACGGCCCTCTTCTCTCCCAGCGTCCCTGGCTGCCTGTAAATTGCTGTGAATGGGGCTGTGGGCTGACAGGCTCTATTAAGACAAACTGCCTTTCTCATCGGAGAGATAAAATAAATCAGGTGTTTAGTCAAATTAAAATACTTCAGCTGGAGCAGGCCCTGGGGAGCCCTGATCCACCTGACTAATCTGAGAGAAACTCAAGACAGATGTGGTTTGGGGATAAAGACGACCCCATGGAAAAAAAAATAAAAAACTGCTGCACTGTCTTTGGAGTTGGAGAACAGATACAGTTTAGAGCGGGAAGTGTCAGGCGCACACTGTGTGTGATATTGGGTAGAAGCAGGCACGCTGACCTGCAGAGAAGCTGTGTGCAGAAGCTTTTCTTTCTGGTTCCCGCTTTGCGGTTTATGAAACTACCTCTGTTTTTGTGTGGGAGGGACACATTTCTGGCAATGCTTTTTAGAGAACTGTTTTAAGATCGCCTGAAGGATGTGAACCAGATGATGTCAGGCAGCTACTGATGACCTCTGCTGGCCTGGGCAGAATCTCGGTATCTGATCTGCCTTTTTTCCAAGTTGGTTGTATCAAACCTCAAAACATTTAAGACAAGATTTTCTACACAGAGTTAAGCTACCCTCAGAAGAGCATTTTATGTGGTCCTTTGTCTTCCTGGACGTAGGCTGACAGCATTCAGGTTGCCTCACTATGTCCCATAAATTGTCTTCTTCATCAACAACTCTGGCAGTTACAGTTCCTTTGCCATGGCAAAGCTGCATGTTCAATTAAACTCATATTTTTTGAGAGAACTTTTCTTTTCAGGGTGGTTGGTCAGTGTGATTCAGACTTGATGTTATTTTTATTACAGCAGCATAAACATTTGCTGTTAATTAAAACAGAAAACCAAGCACCACAGAGTTTGAACCAGTACATGTGATCAAATACAACAGGTACAGAACAGAAAAATGACCACACACACACAAATTAGCCTACACATTTAAAGAATTTAAGCTATTGTATGGTGTAAGTTGATTTTTCTTTAATTTGACCCCCAAGGGATTAATAGCTATCTATCTATCTCTATCTATCTATCTATCTATCTATCTATCTATCTATCTATCTATCTATCTATCTATCATCTATCATTACACACACATGTATAATTTCCCATTCAGTGGTAATATTAGATTTGTTACATTACTACATTTTATTCCCACTGAATTTGTTATTCCACTTATATCTATTCAAAATGTGTATGTGCTTCTCAAATTTAAGGAAAAGATAGTGACGCACTAATATGAGTACCTAAATCCTATGAAAGATATTGATACCTGGCTTGTTTTTTATGAAACACATATTTTTAAGTTCAATGAAAAACGTACTTAGATGTCACTGAATTTTTATAATTAAACAATTTGAATCTTTTTTGTAAAAATGATTAAATAAATTTTGTAAATTTAGATATACTTATACATGTCCATTAGCATTGGAAGTGCCAGTGCATTTACAGACCCACTGGCTTCACTTTGAACAGAAGGGGCTGAGAAGTCACTCACGGGTCATCCTCAGCTTCTCTTCTTCCTGTGCGGAGGTGGAAGAGGGAAGCATTGATGATTATTGAAAAGACATTATTAAATCTAGGAGAAGTGAAAATTTTCCAGTCTCTGTATTGACCTTTGACCCAAATTTCCTACGAATGCCCCTCCTCATTAATAAAGAACTATGCTTCGGTAACTTTCCCAGTATCTAATAAGATTTCTCTTAACTTACCTCAAATAGATAGGTATAACAAGAAAATTACACGTAGATTAGAATGTTGCAAAAAATGTGTAATAAAATGTGCATATTTCCAATTTATCTATTTTCATGGGTTTCCAAACTATTCTCCACACTGTAGCCAAAATGACCACATCGTCCTTGCTTAAAATACTTTAGTGATTTTGGGATATCCTTAGAATAAATAGGAAGTTGATTAGCATTGTCTACAATGAGCTGAAATGTGTGACCTTTTTCTACCTCTCTGGCCTCACCTGGTATTCCACTCCCCCTTATTTCCCTTGCTGAAGCCTCACTCCCTCCTTTCATCTTCTGGAACACACCGACACTCCCCCTCCCAACTCCAGAGGGCCTATGCCTACTTGTTCTCTCTTTCTGAAAGCTCCTTGACCACCCTGCAACTCCTCCTTAACTCTATTCATCTTCCTGTGAATTTCTCACTTTTTCAGCCATACCATCCCTCCACTTGGACATCCCAAACTTGGTTAAACCTACTCCCAGATATGTCTTGTGTGTACATCTTATTTGGTTGTAGTTGACATTCACATGTGTGATCACTCGATGAAGGGGTCCCCCACTTTGGACTACAAATTGCATGAGAGTAGGGAACTCAGCTTTTCCTTACCATGTTTTCAGCATCCTCAGTTCTTGATCTAGTACCTGGCATATAGGTGCCATTCAGGAAAAATGAATGAAATGAATAAATAAATTAATTTCATACTTGCTTTATCTTGTTTTATATCATGCTTGTTTTATTCCTATTATATTAACATACACATTAGCAGAGTTTGTGGTGCTTTTGAAGAAATTTATTGATCTCTGGAGGAGAACCTGCTTTTGTATTTTAATGTTTCTGGATCCAGAAGTTCTTTCCTTTACCAAGCTGAAATTCCTATTGGTGAAATAAAAGCTGATTTTTAAAAAAATATTTTATTTATTTATTTTCAGAGAGGGGAAGGGAAGGAGAGACAGAGAGAAATATCAATTTGTGGTTGCCTCTCCTGTGTCCCCCACTGGGAACTGGCCTGCAACCCAGGCATGTGCCCTGACTGGGAATCAAATCGCGATTCTTTGCTTCACAGGTCTGCACTCAATCCACTGGGCTACACCAGCCAGGGCAAAAGCTGATTTTTAAAAACCAATTTGAGTAGCTAGAAAGACAGCTCTTCACTATCCTTGATACAGTCTTTGTTCCCTTATCAGTGGAATGCATTTTCTAACATCATTTCTATTATCTTGTTTTTCTTGTAATTTTGATTTTAGGCCATCTTTCTATTCAGTGAATCTTTAAGGGATAAAGATGTTGACAGTTTGTTTGTTTGTTTATTTGTTTAGGATTTGGATTCACATTAAGAATCCTAAGGTAGCCCTGGCCAGGTGGCTGAGTTGGTTAGAGTGTTGTCCCATATAGCAAAAGGTTTTTGGTTCAATTCCTGGTCAGGGCACATAGCTAGGTTACAGGTTTGATTCCCAGTGGGGGTGTGTACATGAGGCAACCAACCAATGTTTCTCTCTCTCAAAAATCAATAAACATATCCTTGGGTGAGGATTAAAAAAAGAATCCTAAGGTGGTCCTCAATGTAGCTTCTCTGTGGACATCAGTCTTATTCTCTGGGAATCATATACTAGCAGGTGCTAGCCAGCATCTTCTGAAGGCTCCCTTTCTCCATGGGGCCACTCAGAAAATATGGCTACTCTTAATTAGAATAATTTTAGTTTCTCAGATACCCAGGCATTTTCTTAGCAGGAATGAGGGGGTTTCATAAGGAGATTGGTAGTCTCTACTGCCACACGCACAAAAATCGGCAATCTTTGTCCCCTTTGACAGCTGGTGGCATCTTTCTGAAAAGCTTTCAAATCATAGATCGTTTCTTCATAATGAAACCTGTGTGGCTCAAATACAGTGGGTTGAAATTCTTATCTTATGCTGCGGTAAAATGCTCTAATTTAGATTCACAAAAGGATTCTGTACCCTTTACTTAGGAGAGCTGTGCAATTTGCCCGTAGAAAGTCTGCTCAGCACCATTAGTGCATACCATAAGTGTTCACTGACATCATATTCATTAAACAGCACACCCTTATGCATAACCTTTTCAACCTTGAATGTGTTTTTTCTCTTTGAAGAATGACAAATGACAAAAGGGAGTGGGAGCCCCCCCAAGCAACATTGTTGCCTTTAAGGATGAACTTGAGAACTTCAGCCTGATCCCTTCACAGGGGGAAAAAAAGTCAGGTTCAATCCTTTCTTACCTGGGGCAAGGCAGTTGTTTCTTTGTCTGAGGCCAAGAGAGTGACCCCTGACTTCTGAGCTTCAGAGACAGACCTTTGCATAATAGAAACATTTTATGAGGGACATGACCAAAAAATTCCTTAAATAACATTTATTAAGCACCTACTATATCTTAAATCCTATGTCAGTCACTGAGGGCAGAGTGATTATAGGATACTAATACAACCCACAGTTTTTAATCCTTGTTACTAAGTATCATTTGTTTCCTAGCTTGATCTGATAGATTTGGGGGAGGAGGGGGGAGGAGTGTAGTGAAAGGGAGAGAATAGACTAAGTAATTCTGCTTTTTGTTTGTTTGTTTGTTTGATTTGGTTTTTAAGAGCAAGAGGGAAGAGTGACTGAGAATTCTATTGGCAACAGCACTTTTTCTTGGCAGGGGCAGTGACTGACCATAGCGTCCACTATATCCCTACTCTGTAGTGTTCCTACACGCACAATGACCTCCAGTTATTCTCCCATATCCTTAAGTGTCTTAGGGTAGTCCCTTTCTAATGCTGGTCCTGTCCTACCAGATGAAAGCCCCAGTTCATTCATACTTTTCTCAAACTTGTGAGATATCTTCTCGTTTCCATTTTAGGTACACCTGAGAGCCTGGCAGAAAAAGAACGACAGCTCTCTACCATGATTACCCAGCTGATCAGTTTACGGGAGCAGCTCCTGGCAGCGCACGACGAACAGAAAAAACTGGCAGCCTCACAAATTGAGAAACAACGGCAGCAAATGGACCTTGCTCGCCAACAGCAAGAACAGGTGAGCCCTGCAAAAGGAGCTGACAAACTGGAGAAGTGGAATGTGCCAAGCTCAGCGAGTAATCACGCTGATTGGTTTATTTGTCATAAGCGTTCTCCCAAAAAGAAGGAGGAGAAGAAGGAGAGAAACGAAGAAGCCTTTTGTGAAGCAGGGTCTTCAAGAATACCGAGGGGTCACAGACAGGACAAAGAAAGACATCCTAGCACCTGGGCATAACTGAAACGATAACGTTGTCCCAGAACATTTGGATCTAATTACTCAGGGATGCTTGTTCACACAGGCAGCTCATGTCTTCCCAATGTAGCTTCACCCTGAGGACGTCACTTCTCTCTGGGTCTTTACTCTTCTCATCCCAAAAAAGAGGGCTCTGATTTAGAAAAACTTTGAGGGTCTTTTAGCTCACAGATCCCATGACTTTTTTTCTAACTTTAAAGCTAAGGTGATCGCACATCTGTTTTCCAGAGTAAGTGTTCATAATCTCCCCTCCACTTGCAAAAGTTGTCCAGGTTTGGAAGCCAAATTATATGGTCACTCTATTTATAGCGTAGGCAAATCACTGAACACAAATTAGCACACGGCTCCAATAGGAATTTGACTTCACCGATTTAGAAGTGAGGAGGAAGAAAAAGTAGCAAAGTTTAAATGTATGTCTTTTAACACATAAATCACTCTCCCAAATGTTTTTCCTGCTCATAAGAGCGCATTTGTCTGAGAGCAGTGATCCTATAGAGGAGCCCCTGGTGCTGTAGATCAGACAGACCCAAATTAATGCACAGTTTTTAGGGATCCGACATTATTACTGGAATTATCTTTTCAGTTAAATGTATTTTATAGGGGTATATAGAGCAATATATGCTCTGTTGATTTTAATGAGTTGTGACGTCTGGTATTTTATATGCTTGAATATTTGCCCACATGTAGGAATATGGACTCAGCCCCTAATGGAAAATAACATAAAGGAACACTGTAAAAAATCAGAAGTTAGAATGTCATTTAGCCATCCAGAGATGACACAGTAATTAACTATTGACACTTGTGAATAAGCTAGCACAAATTAATCTTGACACATTTGCAGACGAGTGATATCTTACAGTGAACACTTTGTAATTATATTTCAAAATGAAAATTAAATGACACTTAAAACTAGGTTGTCATGCTCAATGAAGCGAGCATGTAGCTCAACCGATTGGCAAATAAAATTCAGAGTTTGAGCCACATGGTGCTTATGTACCATACTTCACTGTGTCAGAGCCATACGTCCAGGGTGGATGATAGTAATTGCACTGTGGTGTTCTGGATGCATTTCTCTGCAGCACTTTATCATTTAGGAGGGACCATCAATATTAGATGCCTAGTGGTGTTTCACTGGTTTGCTAAGAGGAAATAAATATTCAGAGGATCCAGCATCCAAGCCTAAAGTCACAGAGCGAGTTGTCCGTTTCTTTTTTTTAATTTAAATCATTTTTTAATTTTTCAATTACAGTTGACATACAATATTATATTAGTTTCAGGTGTACACCCCAGTGATTAGACATTGCATAACTTATAAGTGATCATCCTGATAAATCCTGTACCCATCTGACACCGTACATAGTTATTAGAATATTATTGACTATGTTCCCTATGCTGTACTTTTCTTCTACATGTTTATTCTGTAACTACCAGTTTGTACTTCTTAATCCCTTCACCTTTTCCACCCACCTCCCCAACGCACCTGTGTCCATTTCTAATTTGAATGATGCCAAGCAAAGTGGGCCTTTCCAACCTCATTAGGTACTGTTTCCATTTTGCTTATAGTGCTTTAGGGAGGAATGGTACCACTCCCCAAAACGTTTGGGACAGCTTTATCATCAGCAAAAACCTTATAGCAGTCGTTGGGAGCAGGCTGCTATTTCCTCATCTTCTGTGGAATGAAAAGGTGACGAGGGTGTTTCCCTCTGCTCCAGGCTAGAGCATCGGAAAGGTTCAAAGCACAGAGCTGGGGGCTGACCCACACTCATTCTCACGTCCAACATCGCTCACTCTAGAATATTGGCTTTTGGAAAAAGAAAAAAAAATAGGATCACCTCCTTCTCTCCGCCCCAGCCCCCCACCCCGTAACTCTTGCCTAGAGGGCACAACTGAATAAGCCTAAGTTTTCTCTGGCAACTTTTCTCTCTGGCTTCCTAGGTCAGAGTGTGTTCTCTTTAAGGGATATCGCCCTGGGCCTCAAGCTATAGCAGCTCAGCTTTTCAGGCAACAAGCAGCCTGACGCCTAACTCAGTTTCCCAGTAAGCACCCTTGCCCTAAAGAACGTGGGGAAGGTTCAGTTTTCCGTGGGACTAGCACGAAGTGGTTAATATTTCTTTTTATAGACCAGATGATATGTTAAGATGTTGAACTTGGTTATTAGATCAAGCAAGGGGAATATAACAGATTGCCCTCAGAAAGATAAATGGATAAATATTAAGTTTTGTTTTAAAAAGGCTTTGTACATCACTTCATTGGTGTGCCTTTGTAAATCAAAAAAGCAAATCATGATTTTTGATGTTTTGCTGTGTTTTCTTGGTATTCCCTTGATGATATTTGTCTTTTCAGTTCTGAAATTCTTTATATTAAAAAAGGTTTCACCAAAGTCAACCATATTCTAATGAATAGAAATTTCTTCCCTGTCTCTGCTTATAGATTTTACTTTTTTTTACATCCAATTAAGCTCTTTAGAAAAATGTAGCCAGAGTTTTTCAATCTTTATTCCCCAAGGTCAGATTTCAAAACTCCCATTCTGTCCAGATGATCAGTGAAGATGTAGGTGAGCTGCTCACGAGTGTGACACAAGGGGAAGTCTTCACCCACAGACAGAGAGTTGGGGGTGAGCAGAGAAATGGCACCTGTTCGGAACTGTTCCTTTTCTCCAATTTTCTGGTTCTGTCTCTCTCATTTTATAGGAACCTTTTCACATAGAAGTGCAGCAAAGCATTCTTGTAATACCAAGAGATGTGCCTGAGGTAATGGCAAAGGTGTAAGCATTTCATGTTAACTTAATGTAACTTTATTTCTGATAGATTGCAAGACAACAGCAGCAACTTCTGCAACAGCAGCACAAAATTAATCTCCTGCAGCAACAGATCCAGGTCAGTGTATTTTATTACTCTCGTCTGATTATACTCGGATACTTTCCTCCTTGAGAATGGAATTTAAAAGGCTGCAAATGCACCCCTCTCTTGTAAACAGCACCGATGTGGCTACTATTCAAGAATGCTGTATACAGTTGTGTAAGTGGGTGTAGGAAATACCGACTAAGCGGTGGTCTAAGCATCCTTTGTGATGTGATGCATAAGCCAAAAAAATTCTATCTTTTTTCTTTCTGCCATTTGCCTGACACTACCTCCTGGAAACCCAGTGGTTTCCCAGGTAGCAGACACATGCTATGTCGATCGCCCTAAACCAATTTCTGCTTTGTATTCTACCATCTAACGATATCATGGAGAGAAGCTGATGTTTATTTACTTGTTAGGACTGTCTGATTTGGCTAGCTGTGAGAACAATCTTATGGCCTGGGAAAATGTTGGTGATAATTAATTTGTTCTTTAACAGATATTAATTGCATTTCTGTTAGATGCTGAGATCAATGTAAAGATTAACAAATGATTGTCTGTCTTCAAGGAGCTTATAGTCCAGAAAGGAAGAATAACTTGTTTCTGAATAATTGTAATGCAATTTAGAAATTCTCTTTTTCAGTTGTGGCCAAGTAACACTGTATGAAGATCATAATGACAAAGGCCTGGGAAGGAATTTGACTTCTGTCATTCCTTTGTATACTTGGTGGTTAATTCAACTGACAGCTTTTTGAGATAGGTAAGGAGGTGGTCTCCATTTTTGAATAGCAACAGAGGCGTGGTTGTCTGGTGATTAATCCTCAGGAATACTGATGCCAGAGTTGTTATGTTTCTCTTGGCTGCTGTGGGTATTTTTTAACCACTGAGCTCTGTGATTCAGCCCAGTTGGGGCAGTATATTCTGAATTTTATTATTCCTTTCTTTGAGATTAATATTATAACTTTCTGTATTCTTACAAAATCATTCACATAATGTCACAGCTTACTCTGATCTCCTACCTTATTAATGAAAGCCAGTGATTTTAACTTAGATCCTTGCTTCATTTTGTTAATCATACTTAGTGTTCCAGGTAGTACTCACTGCATTTAAAATACCAGCTTAGTGCCTGAAGAAGTGCCTGTACCTAGGGATATCATCTTGAGGTTTTAACCAGTAGTTTGTTGTGCTGGTAGTGGTTTTAAAATTTGTTCTGATTCTGTATTCCATGTGGGAGTCTATATGTTTCAGAATAAAGAGTTCAAACGTAGAGGAAAGGGAGAGTCTCTGGTGTTTTGACAGCCAGCCTTGACAATTAATCTTGGAATAATTTCCCATTCTGCCATCTCTTTTATAACTCGTGCTGAGGTACGTAATTAAATAACAGTCCAGGTGTTCCCTTGCTCTGCCCTCGTTAGAATTTTCAGTGTGTCTCCTCTCACTGAGGTCAAGACCTTTGGCCTGTGGCTTCCTACCTTCTTCTGGAGCTCCCTCTCTACAAGGTCGGTAGGTGTTAAATACCCTGATCAGTTAGGTTTCTCTGTTTCTCATGTTTGTAAAGCACCAATGGAAGAAGTTCCCCAAGATGTTCTCATATCAGTTACTTATTATTAATATTTTTACTACCTCTTTTTTACTTTTCTATTTTGAATGTATTCACTTATTAGTTCAGTGTTGTTTGTATTAAGTGGCTGTCTTAATTGGTGTTTGCCTGTGGTACTGAGGCTTTCAGATGAATAGCAAACGATTCAAAGTATTTTTTGAAGTATTATTACTATTTATTGATTACATATGATTTTATAGTTACAGCTTAACTGCATGAAATAGATGTCTTTTTCAGGAAACTAGCACTTGATCTTAAAATATTCATCAGTATGTTCAATTTGAGGAGATAGAAAAATAGTTGTTCCAAGCTTTCTAATAGAAGTTTAATTGCTTTTAACATTTGTGGGTATTTCTCAATGTATAATTTTTTTTAAATGAAGCTAATCAACACTTGATCTCAGTAGTATAAATTATAAAAGCATAAAGCAATTCAGAGTGTCAGAGTTATATTCATTTTAGAAATATAGGATTCTTTGTAACCAGGATTCATATTGTAAAAATAAGAGGAAGCAATAACCTATATTTACATTTCCTTCTGTCCTGAGTTACTGTTTACTGCATATCTTCTCAGTATTTATCTTTTCAGTATGAGACCATTGAAAGAATTTTTTAAATGCTGAAGAACACTCACTCCTTACGCAACACATATTCTATCTCTAACACTTTATTTAATATCCAGACTTGTAGTTATTTTTTTGAAAGGGGAATGGGTTGACTATATTTTTAAACATAACTTTTGATAAGCCATAAACATGATACGTTTAGGAGAGAGATTATTTTGGGGCCAATTTTTAATATATTTTTTGAGCAAAACAGAATGAGATTTAGGAGATGCTTCTGACATTTTTCTATCATGAAAGAAACATTCTCCCTTTTAAAAACAAAACAGAGTGAAATAATAAATACAAAACCTAACTTCTCTTCTGAAAGCGAATAAATATGGAGACAATTCGAGCAAGCTTGACCATTTTTCTTTTCTTAAAATCCTGAGTCCTAGAACCCATAGGCACCACGGTTGGTGAGATGGGGCCTTGGCAACGGGCTGCGGACTGTGAGTGTCAGGCAGCTCCAACCAAGACTGCACTTTACATGGGATTCAGAAAGCCATCCTTGGAATAGTGCTCTTGTTCTGGAATTTGCAAGCTGTAATAGAAAGAAAGAAAAGGGTATCTAACCTCTTGCAACAACCACAAACACATCTGGGCCTATCGTAGTGGAAACAAATGGCAACCTGAATGGTTTGCACAAATTTAAAAGCAGGATTTTTCATTAGAAATAGGAAAAGGTATGATTAAGGTGCTATTATAATGCTATTTTAGTGGCTTATTTTATCTGTACTCATTGAAAATTTATATATGCAGTTAAAATATTATTTATATATATATTTCTTCCTTGAATATCATTTTTTAAAATATAATTTGCCTTGATAAAGCCCAACTAAGTTTTAAAAGACATATTTTAGAACCATGTAAGCCTTGTTTAAAAAGTAAGATGAATGATTTTGAGAATGAATATTTTAATATTTTTGAAGAGTCAATTTTTACCATTAAAAATCAGGTTAATAACTTTAAACAATTATTAAAATGCTTTAATGTTAACAGGCCTTTTAGGAGGCTGTTTGCTTAGTGCATTCAAATCCCTCTGTTTGTGCTTTGGGGAAAATGCTGATTCCTTTAATTTGTTACATATTAAGTAGTTCCCCTGATGTGGATGGAGCTCCCCCATCAAAAGTTAGACAATTTTGCTATTTCTAGGACAAAATTAACACCGTGTTTATCAACTCTATGGAAAGCAAAGCTAATAGATCATTGAATACAGGGTCGTGGAGTTGGGAATGTTGGGTCTCCTGCTCCAACTCGCGAGGACGGAGGACTGCTTCACTTGTCACCCTCCTTCTTCAACTCAGTCTCTTCCAACCTCGAAGAGTTTTATTCAGGAGTTACATTGATTAGAAAACAAAATTTCCAGGCTGGGTGGGGGAGAGCAGTGGGGGAAAAATTGGGACAACTGTAATAGAACAACAATAGAAAAAAGTTTAAATAAAAGGAAACAAAATTTTCTTTTAATCCATAGGATGTATCAAACCATATTTACAGTATTTAAATCAACTATTGCCTATACATGGTGGGCAAAAGTAGGTTTACAGTTATAATACAAATAAATAATAGGATAATTAATAAATAATAATACAAGAATAAACTGTGTTTTGTGTACTTACAACTATAAACCTACTTTGCCCACCCCTGTAAGTCTAGTCTAAGCAAAAAAGGACATACTTTATAAATCCTGATTTTTGATCCACCCATGTATTTATTCATTTACTGTCATTTGACTCTGTCATAGTTTTTGAATCCAGAGGAGATACTCTTCATGGACACAACACACCACATTCTTTGGTTTTGATAGTATTTCAATGGGAACACATTTAATGAGGATATTTTGCTGCTAGAACTTAATCTTTGCAAGAGAATTCAGCTCATTAAAATATCTTTGTGAAAAACCTACTTCTCCAGGCATGAATAGTGTTACCCAATTATTTATGTCCATTCAGACCCCAATTTTAATGGTATTCAAGTGGCTTGTATTGTGTGCTGTACAGAAAGTGTCCTCTCCTTATATCACTGACTGAACAACAATTGTCTCTTAAGAATGGACTGGCTGGTTGAGATGTTATTTGGGCATTTGGCTTCCTGGGCCAGGGCCAATGATTTAGTTGACTCATACATCTACCTTCTAGAGTACAACTGTGAAACTTGAAATTCTTAGCAATTTTTATGGTTAAAATACAGTATCAATTGCCCTCCCCTCATCTTTCAATACATTCATTAACTGGTGGACTCAATCTGTGAGAGGCCTGAGTAAGGGCCATTGCTGCTGCTTTGCGGTGTTCTTGGTCTTACACAAAAAACTCACTCTTTTAAATTCTGTGGTACATGCTGCTTGTTTACAAAGCCAAGTGTTGGTCTCTTCACTGATGCTTCTCTCTTGTTAAGGGTATATGAGTATTTTTTCATACACAGTGTTTTCTATTTTGGTTATAACATGTTCCTGTGTGCTGTTTGTATATTTTGTCTCTGTGTGTTTGTCACATGGTAGAACACCATTAAATGTGGTGTCTTCTTTCTTCCTGTCTATTAACCAGAAGAGACATTAATATTATAAGCAAGGAGGTGATTGTTCTTAAATGACTAAATAGAATAACTTGAGATGTACTCTCACCTTTTTAGGAGGTAAACCTTGCCTTTTGTTTCCTTCAATATGATTAACTACAGGCATTTCAGGTATCTGCTGAGCAGAATAAGGGCTACCATTTATGTGCAGGAGTTGTCTAAAGATCAGGAATAATTACTTTGTACATTAGCCTTCATGGCCTGCATGACCTGGTTAATTAATTTTTTGCTAGGATAATAATAATAGATATATATTTGAAGATA